GAATAGAGATAGAATGAAGCAGAATGATGAAAAAGGGGTCCCTATGTCCTCCAGCAGTCTAAGCCTATAGCAGCACAAATGCAGAAAATAGCTCAGGAAAACCTATTTTATTAGCACCTCTCAATTGGCTGATACTAGCCCCTGAGCCAAAACAGCAATACCCCTCATGGGGTCCGGGCATTGGGCCCCACATGGAGCAGTCAGTCCCCACAACATGCTGTTTTCCAGAAAATGGGTGCCATAATATATTACATACAAGATTACACACAGACCCCACACCTGGAAAAAAAGTTTAGATGATTGATTTATCTTCCAAACGTACTTCAGACATTGCTTTAATGACCCAAAAGCTTTCCCATCGAAAAGTTATGCCGACACTAGGGCTAAAACAGTTAATTAATCTTGATTAATCAATTATTGAAATAATCAACTAGTTCTGTGATTGATGGATCTAGCTGACAGAATGACCCTTTTAAAGCAGTAATTATACCAAAACTGTGAAAACAAATATATAAACATTTTGATTTTAAGATAAAGTATGTTCTATCCAGAACTTTACAAGTAGAAAAGTTTAGTTTCAGTTGGTTTAATTCTGTATAAAATGATCTTTAAGAAAGCTTTGGCTATCCATTTATTAAGCGATTACCCGAAAAAATAATCAATAGATCAGACGATAATAAAATAATTGTAAGTTGCAGCTGTAGCCGGCGCATAAACACACAAACTGAAAGACTTCCACATCAGAGTTTGCCTGACTCTGTTTAACATTCAGGGTTGAAGCAATAAGCTCCGCCCCCACTGATCCACCACTGACATTCGAACCCCTCTGACTCTGAGCTCAGTTTCAGTTGTTGGTGGTTTTGCTGCCCCTTCATGTGGAAAGTTTCTGAAGCACGGGAGATCCTCCCAAAGAGAGCTTCTTCTTCTTCATCCTATTTGAGGAGATGTTTTCCTCTCCACCTTCTCCTCGTGCTCCTCCAGGAGTGAATCCTGTATAGTCGGTGGCTTTAAGAAGTCTGACAGTTTAACCCAGTGTTTTTGTGTAATGAGTTCAGTTGAACTCGATAAAGCACCTTCAGATGACATGTCTGTCATGCAGACATAAAATGAATTGGAGGGAATTTCAATGTAACGCTATCGTAAAGCTATCAGACATTCAGGATCTTTTGGTGCTTTTCCTACTTGCTTTAGGAAATGTTCATCTTTTCATATGCAAACAAAGCACTTTTATATCTGAAATACAAAAAAAATGAAAGTTATCTGAACTAAGCAAAGGAGGAAAACGTGGTTCTCTTTTGGAACAGGGAAAAAACAAAAAGCAGTTTTAGAACTTTTTTATGTCAATATCAGATTTTAACTGCTGTCAGTTCATCAACAGGAGGAGCAGCTAAAAAAATGTATACCTGAACTTTTCCTTAATCTTCTTTCTAATTTCACTTAATTTTTATTAGTTTTTTTTTTTCAAAGGTTTTGTTGTTCTTGTGGAAAATAAAGTTTCAATTAAATGTCACACATTTGCACATAACTTTTGCCAGATGTTTGGGATGAACTGATGTGAGCTTCCTTTTTGTTTTCAGGAACATAAGGCACAAGTGATGCAACTTGAAGAGGAAGTGGTAAAAGTAAAGACACGGTACTCGCTGGCGCTGAGGAACCTGGAGCAGATCAGTGAGCAGATCCACGCTCAGAGGGGGCGGAACGTGGCCAGCAGGGGGCGACTTTCAGTCGAGGGCCGCAGCTCCCCTGTGGGAGCCGAGTCTGAGGTTAAAGGCGCCACGGGGTTTCCCTCCAGTTCCTGTGTGGAAGTCAGTGGAGTAGAAAGTGACTGGGCAGATGGGGAAAAAACACGGCTGTGGGTGGAAAGGCACAGAGAGAGCGGCTGGGGCCAGAGGGAGTCATGCGAGGCTGAGCAGGCGGCCTCAGATTCCATCACCAGCCTGCAGACCATCGCCTCAGACCTGGAGAAATGTGACTCAGTGGAGCACCTGTTCAACCTGAGCGATGGTGGCAGTGTGCTGAGTGAAGATGCTGCCTACGGCAACAGCCTGGTCAGCAAGGAGGTGGAGACTCCGCAGCAGCAGGAGATCCTAGTTAAACAGCATCAGAGGAGCGTTAGTCTGTGAGCAGCAGACTCTCTGATTACTGCATGAGGGAGAAGATGGAGATGAACTGGCTGATTCCCTCCATGTTCACACCTCATGGCTGCAGGAAGCAGTTTGCAGCATCTGGTACAGATCAGCGCATACGAGCAGAGGAAACGCTGTGGTTGATCTTCAGACTGAAAAAAACAACGGAGAACTCTTTACTGAAAGGCATGTGATGGATATTATAAAGGCGCCACAATGGATAGAGCGCCAGGAAATAGAACTTTTACATATTGCAATAACATCCGGTCAGCAAGGAATAATCAATAGATCATTATTTATACATATGAATTTAGACTTAAAAATCAGTAAAAAAAATAAAAACATAATTTTCAATGCGATCAGTGAGTCTGGGAGCGGCCATTTTTGCCCAAATCTAGTAACCCCTCCCTCCTGTCATCTTCCAGCAGTGACGTCACGGTGCGGTTATCCTAGCGCCATTCTGCCCGCTTTACAAGCTAAATCAATGGGAACTACTAGACACATCTGCAATCAACAACAATTATTGAA